TCTAAGGTACTGCCTAAAAGGTTGGATAGTTAATGGATATAATGGCATCCACCTTTTCCTAAATTGTGGGTCCACTTCAAGGAAAGTAGTTCTATTTTCTCGAAAAAAATTGTAAGTAAGAATGCCATCCATACGATTGAACACATCATTTTGATAGTTATCATATTTTGTTAAAACTGAAATCACTGCACAGCCTATAAACCACGTGCACGTATCTAGATCATGTCTGTTAAATTCTAATGTAGAGCTGTGTGAACTAAATACCACTTAAAATTTGCATGACTCTTACGGGTAATTATTATATTCACTTCTTCACAGCGAAACGAACTTAACTGAACAGAGTTGTTGAAATGGAAACAGCGTCGAACAAGAGAACTGTGAACCCCACATTGCCCTACCCTCATGCATGGAGGCACAAGCTATTTATCGTCTCTATGCTAACTGGTAGCATGCTGTCCCTCCTGTTTACCTTGCGTAGGACCTCCTACCAGAGGTATTCCACCATTTTTACACCATCGGTATAAGGAGCTGGTATTGAAGACACCACATCCTACGGCTTTATGGCTCTCTCTGCCAAGATAACAACACAACGCGTTAATTGCTTTGGGTCGAGCAAGCACGAGACAATCACATTACTAACACCTCGGGGTGATTCCGCGTCCTGGTAATGAGGTGAAAGGGGGCGTGAGCGGTGACAAGGGTAATAAGCCCTCATTAGCGAGCCACGTTAATACGCGGAGCCCCAGCAAGGTTGGGAGGACGACTGGTAGCTTGCACCCCTCCCCTCCATCTCGACTCCCTAATGATCGTAATTATCGTACATCTCCAGTATAGTTAATGCGTTCTGGCGATTGAATATAACAATTACACTGATGAACTCATTAGTGATTCGGAATATAGGTCATTACGGAGTACAGGAAGCAAATACGATACAATTTCTATAGGGAAACTTAGACCGGTTATAGAATTATAGCGGGCATTATGTACCAACAATAACTACAGTATATCCTTTCAGAAAAATACTGTATTAAAATGTTTGTGCCTATAATGCGAAAATGACTACTTAAATTTGATTGAAACATTAAATAGAAGAAATGTTCAGTAGTTTGGCTTTGAGTATTCTTTTGAAATGTTTATCTGGCTGATTGCCAGTGGGACGAATAATCACAATTTTTGTTGGGAAATTATGGAAATCATTTCGTCACGCAATCCCAAATTTGCGAATGCCATAATGCCTGGGCCATTTGGTTTGTTTACCATCCGTTCTTTAACCAAAGAACTATTACCTTTAATTGCAAAATTCACATGATTATTGTTTGATACCAGTCACCGTATACCTATTTCCGTCTTCTACCTCCTCACGAGGAAGGCGCCTGGCTATGCTCCATCGTCAATGGTTCTTTGTCGTCTTGAGAAGGGGCTTCTCTCCAAAGAGAAAGGCAGAAATCACCGTGAGAATGTAAGCATTCTACCCACCTTTGATGTGGGTTGGTGACAATGGGTGCTATGATTGTTTCGAGGGGTAATTGGACTGGTATGGATTGGTAGATGATCCCGGAATCATTACCCCTGCAAGTGTAATTGGCGCTCCCTTACAGCACCGCCCTATTGTTCATTGCTTTTTACGAGACGGCATTTACAGGAGGATAATAAAGGTTCACTGAAATGGAAATACAAGAAGACAATAAGATCACAGCGGTATCGTCATAGCTGGACCAGTTCGGTTGAAATATACCCCCATTGGTCTCAAAACCTTTTATCATGCTCGCACGGGATTGATTAATTCGCCTCCAATACAAATAAGCTCTAATTCTGCTCATTATTTTCTCTCTCGTTTTCTTCTCGTTCTTTCACTATTTTCTTGCTACTTTCTGAGTCACTCCATAATATCTCAATCATTCAGAAGTCATCCGATATCATTCTAGGTTTGGAAAAGGAAAGAAAATCCACGCATATTGCCGGATTCGACGAAATTGATTTACGACTTTGTTCACAGTTTCCTGAATAAATAAAGATTTCGTCTGTATGAATACCAACATTCACTACATCTCAGTAGATTTTCCGAAACCCAATTACCGAGAACAAAGAACAGAAAAGATAATTTGAACGCTCAGCTCAACTTCGATGATAAACATTCAATTACTATGCAAATTATTTTAAGCTACAGATGGTACCCGGAGCCCATTACAATGCATGATTGAAATTAAAAGTAATATCAGAAAGGCAAAATTTAATTTCCATATTAATCATTGTTTATAACCGTTGCTTATAATCAAAAATATAATCTGTATAAAATGGATATTTCGTCTGGCGGTTTGATTTTTGTAATGAGATATAGTCATGTATGATTGAAGAAAATTCATAGAATTCGTGGAACAAGCCTATTCAGGCTAGCGATATCCCATTCGTCAAAACCGCATAAGTCATATTGACATTAAAATGAAATTCAATGAGAATGAGCAAGATAAGATAATAACTACCAGGCACTTCTATACATTCCATGTATGTAATGCCGCTTTACTTACAGGTAATAACAAGTTTTGGTAAATTTTGAAAATTGGGTGGAAAATGGTTCTTTACAATTTTGATATATTTGGATTCCCCTGTGGATATATTATAAGCACTAGAAAATGTAGACACTAAAACACTTCTGCTTTCGAGAAAATTTGAATACAACAATTTACCGGTGCTCCCGGTAAATTTGGATAAATTTGAAATAGCGCCTACGGCCGTACAATGGTAGCTGCGACCATGAAAATTTCAGAATATGTAGTTGTGATATATAATTTCCAAACGGGAATGGCTAATCGGTCGATTGTAGTCAAGAAACATTGTTGTATAGCTTAATTAATATCTTGACCTTGAGAGGGAGCTATACAACATAAAGAGGTTATTATTTACAATTTCATAACTTTAGACTCGATTACAACCGCGACAACGATAACTAAATATTGTAGGATGGTATATGCTTCCAATATATTCATTTGAACCAAATTCATAAACATATACCAAAACTTTGTATTACCTTTAACAATGGGTTCGATAATCAGGTAATCGTTTCCTTGTTTTACCCTCGTCCAACCATGATAAAACTATTTTATAATTGTTATCCCACGTGACACGTCACGTGATAACTATTGGTCGTGTTATGGTTTCATGCAAGGCATCGACTGACAATAATATCTCGTTATGGGTGGCAATTATCTCCTCCGTCCACGCATTTATCATTTAATATCGCAATATGTCGTGCTTGTATGATTTCGAAAAGTAATTAATCGTTCAGTTACTCCACCATGTCGTTAACCGTACAGTGACGTTGAGAAAAAAAATATATTCTACGCTGCGTATCTCCGAGTTTGAAAAGAGTATGACTATGAGTATGAACATAATTAGGTATTGTAAGTCTGATTTTAAAGAGTACACGTTGCGCCATAAAGTGATTTTTCCCCCTCTCTCTCTCTCTCCCTCTCCCGTTGACTTGTATGTGTTGAAGCCTTACACCTGTTTTGTTTTCCATTCTCCACAAACCTCTGTAAATATATCATAGGACATCGAATCATGCTTAATTACCCCCATGCATTCATACAACCGCATAATTACACTATATTAGAAACATTATGATTATCATGATTCTGAGTGAAAATATAGACGAGCTGACGTCATAACTGAGTCCATGGATATAAATTTGTATTTTTACATGAATTTACGACGTGTTTCGGTGGCTGTTATCACTGTATTCAGCATAACGAATCTGATCTAAGTAAAGTGCATAGATGGGAGGTTATTAATATGCAGAGAGCAGATCTTGAGTGCACTTTCGAACTTCAATGTTGCCCCACAGATAGAGAATGCCGCCTGAAAAGCATGTCGGTGTACACAAAGTACATGTTCCCCTGGCATCCTGCATGTTCGTTTGATAATGGTATTGAATCAGTGAATATTTTGCATTTTCAAAGCAGTGTATTTTCATGTTTTGTAATGATATAATCAGACATAATTATAATATACAATGAGCAGCATGTTATGATACATTTATTATTCAGCTTGTTCTATTCAAGTCCACCTAATTGGTCATGTTGATTGTTATTAAAAGAAATATGAAGGGGAGTTTTTTTACGAATTGATTCCATGATCTTCCAAAGAGTAGTGATAATGGAAGTTCAGAGGTCATAGATTGAAATAAATTGTGGTGATCGAAATCATCCAACTCCTCTAATCCAACCAACATTTTAAAAATACAGAGTGACTGGCCAAATACTGATAGATTCATATCCGTATGATCGCACATGAGATATCGATGGTCATGCAATTGAATAAAATGAAAGTAGTCTGCCACAAATAGAAATCGCACAGATTTTCAGAAAAGATCGCCAACATTTTTAATGCATTACTCGCGCGATATAGGAGCGGAATAGTGGAACATGAAACTGATTTCCTCAGGCTAATATTCATACATTCACCATTCAGAAAGTATCGGATTTGAATGGGTAACAATACCCGAAAGAAAGGCACCACAAAAAGGGTCTCATGAAAACAAATCTATCTTGGAATATTGCGGGAGATTTCCCCTGGTTGGTGAGCGATTGACGCATTTCGAGCGATGTCGATACAGCCATCTTTTTACTGAGGCAGGTGCCGAGTTGGCCATGTTTAGAGTAAAGTGCTTTTCCTTAGATAAATGGCTGATTAGAAGCCGCGAGTGTGATTTCAACGAACCCTCCATCAACTAATTCATCAAGTGCGAAACCTTTTAAAACGACCAGTGTGGGCTGTTTTATCTGATCAATACCTACTCTTCCTCAAACACCGGAGAGCTGCGAAAACGGAATAAAAAGGAGTGAAAGCAAATTTTAAAAAGTGTTAGGAAGATAATCTGGGTAAGGGCTTAATACGATTGCATCCCATTGAGAGGTGGAACAAAATCCATTACCGAGAGCACTTGAAATTATAAAAATCAATTAGGGGTAACCTTAGAGAGGTATCAGGGGAGATCCACCTACCTTTGTCTACAATCTGGCTCCTATCCTGAGTATGAGACATGTTTGTTGATGGCGGGCTCATCGAAGGGGTATAAGCGAGGGTTGGTTCTGTGTATGCACAGGTGCACAATGCCTATTATTAAAACTCGATATAATAATCTATTCACGTCGTTCGTCCCTCCTTGTTCAATCAGCTTCGTCGGATTTGAGAGGTCGACAGTTATTTTGCAATTACGTCGCCTTTCTTCTGAAAATCCTCCTTGAAATCTTGAGATCTTGAAATGTAATCCTTTCCAAGATTAAAATTCACAATGAAAAATAGTCGTCAGGAAGAGAGAAAATGTTCCACTGTTAGCAAATATTTATTTTATCTCCTCTATAAAAAATAAAGATTGGTATGAAAGAGTTGCGGAGAGGGTAATATCTTTCACTCGGTATGAAAATATGCCGTACAAAGATGTACAAAGAGGCAATGCAGACAGTCACTATGGCAGCTCCTCGCTGGCAATCCTAAGATGACGAAGAAGACGGAGAGTGAGATGCTCCTGATGAATGTATTTTTATGTCGGAGATGATCCGAGCTTCTAACATCTAATGAAGGATACGGGGTAGGCAGACCGATGAAATGCACCGATACTTTATCTACTCTTCGCTGGATTGAATGGACCCGTAATGAATTAAACTCGGGCTCCGTAACCAAACCTTTGTCGGCCCTTACAATAGGCAGAGAAAATAGACCCCTCTCTTTGCGCTCCTCCACAAATTGGAGTGGAGTGTTTACCAATTTTCCGAACTCGCGCTAATGACATACACCGCAATTGAGTTGGCTTGATTAAACTCAAAGGAGGGTTAAAGGGGGCAGGGAAAAAACGAAGGGGGAAATCAGTGGTGGTAATTAACTTGCATCGAATTAGATTGAATAACTGAATGAGGCGGGAAACACTATGTAAACAAAAATCTCATTAAGTTAGTTTCATTTAGCTGCTATCAGACGGCACAGCGGGTTCATTAGCGAAACACTGGCAATGAATTCAAGCTGACTCTCGGCGACGTGATTCCTTGAAATAACTCTGCATAACACTGAAGTAAGACGAGAGCGGAATGGAATTAATCAGAGTTTCATTCAATCATATCAGATGATACTAGGCTGAAATAAAGCCCGGGTTCACTCCACTGTTCACTCCAAGAAAGAATAAAGTCTGATTTATAGTTTGATCCCAGCATCCACGTTCACAAGAATCTCGTAAGGCAGATGTTGCAGGTAGAGAGAACGAGAGGTAGGGTATTCATCGACCGAAGGCGACTATACGAATGCTGCTCTTACCGAGAATCCCTCGCTATATATATTGGTGGAGTGATCTACCCGAAGTCTCTCGCATTGATTGACGGGTAGTGGGGCTTCTCCTGGAACTATAACGTGGGAGAATACTAGCATCAGAAGCCGTAGAAATGAAACATCAAAACCCTCGAGTAAACAAGAAACCTCTGAAGGTAAAACACGGCAGTCCAAAGCAACAGCACGCAACTCCGGAGCAATCAGCGAAATGGTGGAAGGAGGAGCACACTTCAGAAGTCAAATCAACGCATAGAAGTGTGGATGTCTTCACGAGCTAGTGCTGCTTACATCGGGGAAGCTCCAGTCGCGTCAGCCAGAGCTTCTGGGGTTGAAATTTGTCAACGCCTCGTACAGACCGCGGCCGTTCTCGTCGCTGCTAGCGTCGTTTTTATCCACACAGAGTTCTGATTTTCAACAGTATTCTGATGACAATCCTTCACTTTTCCTTGCCTGACGGTTATGAACAATCCTCTTTCGTGGTAGTTGACTAAAAACGTGCAATTATCCGGGATTCTGAAAGCTCCTGGTTGTCAGATTCGTAGTTCCACGTTCAGTCCAACGCGATGCCGTAGATTCTCGCATAATATGCCTAGCACTGTGAATATAACACGGGGAAGTGGCACTGCATATTATACCGTTTGTTTACATGCAGTGTGTAAGGTCTGTACACATTACGTACGGTGGGAGCTAGACGGCGATTTCGTCTGCTGCAAGCTGCTAGTCATAGGTGCGTGCGCAGCTCGAGAGAGAGAGAGAGAGAGAGAGAGCACCCCTAAACACAAGTCAACGATTCACGACGCTCGACGCTCGGCTTACCTCGTAATGAACTTGGCTCGACGGCGGGAAAGGAAAATTTGTTTGCGGTTTCTACACCATTATAATGGGCTCGTTCAGTCCGCTCACAAATTGAGGTTGTTTAATGAACCCAGGCATTGTTGTTAAAGTCTCCCCACTCTCCAGTTCTCTCCGCCCTCTCTTTACACGATGTTGCCAATTTCATTTTAGAGGAGGAAAATGAGTTTAATGTCGAGTAATTGATGAGCCTCCTAATTGTATGTAGATTACGGAATGAAATCCATGTATAATTTGGCACCTCTCCTACCCATTTATCATGTGATTTAAACCAGGTTATTGGAAGGAGAAGGGGGAGGAGAAAAAGAATATGTTATCCATATTAATTAATTTTGAAAAACGAAATGAAAATGAATTATTTTAGATTCCCTTCTAATTATCAAAAAATGAATGGGTCACTTATAAGCTTGAGAAAAATGAATGGCTTGTCTGGGATCAAGCAAAATTAATTTTTCAGAAGATCTGAAGCAATAAATCAAATTCCCCACTAGTTAATAAATTAATTTCAAAAAACGAAATGAAAATTAATTATCTTCAATTCCCAAATAATTATCAAGAAATGAAAAGGTCACTTAACAATTAAAACAAATGAATGGCTTCTCAAGGATTAAGCAAAATTGAATTAAGAAGACCTGACCGCCCATGCACTGACATTGAAAACGAGGAAAACAAGAAGAAGATTAATGATAATACCTCATTACACGAACACCGTCATCGTTATAAGGATAATAACACACCAGAAGGCTAAATATGAAATAAGAAAATACAACTCGTCCCCCGAAAATATTATAAGTTCTACTAATTATATGACTGATATTGATGTTCTGGCAAAAGACAAGAGTTTCCTAACAAAATTCCATCCGTAAGTAAGCCAAACCGCCTTATTTATACGGGTGGATGACATGAAACATTACCATCATGAGCTTAACTCAAAAATAGGAATACTGGAGGGAAATCATCAAATTGATAAACACCCAAGTATCCTAATATTAATGATGGCCAACAGAAAAAGGACCCCCCCCTTGTAATAGTCATAATTATGAGTTCGGGTACCATAATTATAGCCGGAATAATATGACAAATTACTACGCCTGGGAAAAAGCTGAATGAGTATTTTGGCGAAGTATAATTTAATAAAGATCTGTCTTGATGGCCGGGCAAACTACAAAGATGAACATGTAAAATGCAAGGATGGGCAGTTCCTGGAACTTTGTCGGTATTTTGACTACGTTGTGTTTTGGGGGTGGGCAGGCTGAAGCAACAATAACTCATCAGGAAGAAAATGGGGGTTGCAAGCTCTCTTGATACTCGCCATTTTCCTCTCACGGTGCACCCGCTCTCGACACCCTAATCAATTACCGTCCCGTCCGTCTCAAGACCAGCCAATAAACGAACCCTCGTTACAGGGTTGATGTAGTCGTGGAACAAAGACCCTTTGCTCTATCTACTCGGACATCAACGGGGGGGGGGGGGTTCCGTATTAGAAAGTGGTCATTTGACAACATCTCAAAGCCTTGTAACCATACACATGGTTAATGAAAATTTGTTCGTGTAAATCGTCAAGAACCAATAGAGTACTATATTATTGTTGATTCATTACTGAAGGGTAGGAAATGTCAGAATAGTTTCTCATATGGAATCACCTAACAATGCGTCGACCGAGATACAAGATGCAATGTTTGTCAACATGGGAGCGTCAAGACTAAGGGTGGATCCAGGATCGCCATCGGGATTCTTCCTGATATTCTTGATTTTCCGAAGAAAACTTGATTTCCGGAAAGTCACACGGGTCCACTGCTTGGCCACTGGAACGGCATAAGAAGAATAAAATACACATTTAGTTTGTAAATATCTAATTACTTACACAAATAGTCAGATGTTTACACTACATTCTACATTCATCCGAAACGTATTTTATCTGTTATCATTTTAATGCAATTTACAATGTCATATTTTTCTAAGCTCCATTCAAATTTCGTTTGTGCTAGCATTCTGAGGTTTATCTTTGACTTCGAGTTCTGAGAATCTCATCCGAGCCGTGAAACAGGTGCCCACAAACCTCCTCTCATTCTCCAACCACTCTGCCAGAATTTCTACAAAAGAAACCTGTGACGGGTTCGCGGAATGAGACTAGCTGTCTCTCATTGGCCGTTTTGCTTCTTTCCACGATTCGTTAGGTACCAATATAACTCGAGTCATTTAGTGCCGCTTGGCAGGGCTCAGCTGCGCAGTGCGAACATAGGCCGGTCATCATCGACGACCTCTATGAGAAACCCGGACAAGGGCAACCCCATCCTTAGTTTACAAAACCAAACCCTACAAACCAATTTTTACGTATTACTCGCTTCCCAAAGTAGCATTCCTTTAATGTTTTTGCGGAAATATTAAATGGTTAAGAATGAAATAATTATGAATTGTCACGTCGTACATTTGTCAACCTACCAACGCGCCGTGTCAAAGATTGTCAATCATGTTTATCTACGAGTATCAAACAAAGCATGATGATAGACCAACCCTTATTTAGATTTGGGGGCTCAAATCTACCTTAGTTATACTAAAGATGGGTTCGATATTTAAATGGAATTTGAGGAACGAATACAAATAGGGGCGACCGTGCACTTCAACACCATCAATGATTTGCACTTTCTCAATTATGTTTATTTATTAAACACGTGAATCCTTGGTATGGACAAATATTGTATCTACAAGTATGTAGTATACTCAATATTATTTGAACATTTGAAAAATTAATGAATCATCAAAAAATAAACGAATGATAAATAAGTGAACAAAATAATTATCAGGGATATTAAAAATCAATTAAAGATTCATGAGAATTGTACCCATTGCCCAGGACTCTCTACGGCTGTACAATCCTTTCTTTCTCCATCGAGTATAATCGGATGTCATTTGCTTAGCTGGTCGTTGAGCCGCTAAGCAATGACGCACCTTCTTCTCCATGTTTTCTTTTTGCCATCAAATCGTGCCAAAAGGCCGTTTTCTCCGCATTTGCGCCTTCAATATTTACCCTCTGAAATAGAATTCAATGCAGTGCGTGTGCGTGAGGATGCTGAAGAGGGCGGTGTGAGAATTCCAAAACGGGAACAAAGTTGTTCCCTTTCAAAGATGACGAAATGACGAAGTGAAATTCATCCCGGAGTCCCGTCAGTTGACGACCCGGAAGATAACTTCTAGGGTCATAACCATGGGCGTCATCCATTGATGGCGTGAATCCATTTTGATTTTTTTGTGAGGTGCACACGCAATGAAAATGTTTTTTTTTTTTTCGAGTACGCTTTGATAACAAACTTATTTTATACACTATGTGTTATTATACAATGCGCCGCTCTTAACTTTAATAATAGTAAAAGTCTTTGGTTTGGTTTAATATTTTGCGGCTAAGAATGCATGTGTATACTTGTAAGTAAGCAACCAGTTCAATTCCATTTTCCTTCCTTTCCTTCCCACTCTTTCTTTGTAGTTTATTGATCTACCGTCTTGTACATAACATAAGAACGCGCAGCGCACAAAACGCAGGATTAATTTTACCCAAAATAAAAACCCAGATGGGAAAACAAAGTTTTTCATTTGATGGTGCAGCTTTTTGGAATAGTTTACCTAATTTGTTAAGAAATGCGCCATCAAATTCTTCGTTTACTCTTTTGGATTAGCGTTATAATAATGTAAATCATTGAACTGGTCCATTTTGTTGTTTTTGTTTCTTTTCTTTTGTTCGAATGTATTGTAACTGAATTCATTTTTTTTTCGATTTGGATTGTTTACACGAATATGGTTGTAAATTTGGCATTTATGTTGTAGGGCCTCTACGGAAAACAGTATTTAACTACTGATGGAGCCACCCTACTAAAAAGAGACTAATAAATAAATAAAAGAAATAAAAGAAACGGAAACCATTAAAAGAGTTATTAATTCAAATTGATGGAATATTTGATATCGAAAAAGAACAATGGTTATTATGCAGTACCTTTTTTTCTTACTTCGTGGAGTTTGAAAGTGTATTGTTTTGAACGAATTCTAAGGGTTTTTTTTTTTTTTTTTTACATCTGTGAAGCTAAACTAGTTTTGTTTTTCTCCCCCCCCCCCCCCCTCCTCCTCCTCCTGCTTTTCCTCCTCCGCCTCCTTCTTCGTCACCTTCTTGTACTGCTTCTTCTCCGCCGTCGAGGTCATTTTCCCTTTATTTTTTCCTTCTACTTCTTCATATTATTCTTCTTCTATTTCTTATTCCCATAGTTAATAATTTCTTGTTGCCCCCTCCCATCATCTTCCATCTTTTCCCCTGCGTGGATTTTAAATTTGGCTTTTTCTTTTATTCCGTCTCCTACATCATGTACATCATTGTTTCTACGTCTTTTTCCTTTGTTTCTCATCCGCTTTCTTCAACTAGCATTTTTATTATGTATTTGTTCATCTTTTATTTTATTTCACTGTTAAATAACTTCTTCTTTTCTTCTCTTTCTTGTACGTCTTCGTCTCCCGCCTGCCCCCCCCCCCTCTCTCTCTCTCTCTCTCTCTTTCTACATCTCTGTCGTAGTATAATTACTTTAGGTCTCTATTTGTATATTTGTTTGTAAAGATTAGTATTATTATTATTTATTAGTATTATATATCTCTTTTTCTTAGTCACAAAACGATGAATTCGCTATTTACATTCTTTAAGGTTTTTATTCTTTATAATCAAATCAGTCAGATGACCATGGACACTTATCATTTTAGTTATGCAAAACATTCCAAAGGACAAAAAAATATATAGTAATTTAGGTTAGTACGATGACCATGCACAAGTCGTAATAACAATTAATGAAAACGTGTTTATGCTCTCTTTGAAGCTCTACAGTGATTAGTTGATAATGGTACACAATTGCCGGAAGAAAAAAAGCTCGGAACAGCCGGAAGAAAACAGAACCAGAACGAACGGGTTCAAGATTGTATTAAGCATTCTAGAAAATGGGAGGGGCTGACACCAGGGGCGTACGCAGGTGGGTGTGTTTTTTTTTTGTGGAAAAAAATGAATACTCCTGAAATGAAAATGAAAACAGACCAAATAGCAGACCGACAGCACATCGACAGCACACCGACAACCGACCGACAGCACAGCGACAGCACACCGACAACAGACCGACAGCACACCGACAACCGACCGACAGCCCACCGAAAGCAGACCAACAACACACCGACAACAGACCGACAACACACCGACAACCGACCGACAGCCTACCGATAGCAGACCAACAACACACCGACAACAGACCGACAGCACACCGACAACCGACCGACAGCCTACCGATAGCAGACCAACAACACACCGACAACAGACTGACAGCACACCGACAACCAACCGACAGCCCACCTACATCAGACCAACAGCACACCGACAACAGACTGACAGCACACCGACAACCGACCGACAGCGCACCGACAGCACACCAACAACAGACCGACAGTACACCGACAACCGACCGACAGCCCACCGACAGCAGACCAACAACACACTGACAACAGACTGACAGCACACCGACAACCTACCGACAGCCCACCGACAGCAGACCAACAGCACACCGACAACCGACCGACAGCGCACCGACAGCACACCAACAACAGACTGACAGCACACCGACAACCAACCGACAGCCCACCTACATCAGACCAACAATACACCGACAACAGACTGACAGCACACCGACAACCGACCGACAGCGCACCGACAGCACACCAACAACAGACCGACAGCACACCGACAACCGACCGACAGCCCACCGACAGCAGACCAACAACACACTGACAACAGACTGACAGCACACCGACAACCAACCGACAGCCCACCTACATCAGACCAACAATACACCGACAACAGACTGACAGCACACCGACAACCGACCGACAGCGCACCGACAGCACACCAACAACAGACCGACAGCACACCGACAACCGACCGACAGCCCACCGACAGCAGACCAACAACACACTGACAACAGACTGACAGCACACCGACAACCTACCGACAGCCCACCGACAGCAGACCAACAGCACACCGACAACAGACTGACAGCACACCGACAGCAGACCGACAACAGGTGTATCAAATGGTTACGTGGAAATGCTATAAAAATATTTAAAGGACCAGCAGGAAGAGCAGTATTTTAAACTAGTGTTTTGACTAACCTCGGTAAGTTTTTTAGATAGTCGAAATTGTTCGGCATACTATTTTCAGATCCGTACAGAATTTTGTGTATACAGTTAAAACTAAATAATTCATACGTCTTGTAAATGTTATGTGTTTGGTGTTTTTCATAACTCAAGAATGAGAAGTGGACTGGTTGAATTAGGGCCTTTTTTTAAAAATACTTTAAAATGTTCAGTTTGATATCATATCCGGACACCTACCCCATGGACATCCACCCCCGGATAACCACCCCTAGGATAACCACCCTCTAGGACAACTACCCCCTAGGACAACTACTCCCTAGGGCAACCACCCTCTAGGACGACAGTTTATTTCATGAAACATTTTCTTGCAGTTATTTGCAGTATTTGTGATCCGTACCAAGCAAGCCTTCAAACAAACAATGCTTTTGATTTAGATGAAATATAATTATATAGATTGAGGCTTATCTATCTCCAGCATCAATCACACAACGGTGGCCATTGTTTGAAATAGGAGCTTCAAATTATCTAAGGCAGGGGCGGATCCAGCATTTAATATGGGGAACAACCAAAAAATAAATAAATATATTTTGTCATGTTTATGTCGTTTAGGAATGCCTGATTTGGTTTTAAAGGGGCACTGACCGGTTGCGCCCTCCCCCCCCAAAAAAAAAAACAATATATGTATATATATGTAAACAAAAACAAAAATAAAAAATCGGCCAACAAACGAGCGAAAGTTTTTAATTCAAATTTGCCACACCTCGGTCGAAAGAGGCAAAATGTGTAATACTAATACAAATCTGGAATTATATAGCGCCTAATACGACCTTTGCTTTTCAAGTCACTTGGAATCGAACCTCCAAGTACATATAAAGTCGACATTATAGGACACCATCACTGAAATCTTTGTTCACCTTGGTCCTCAAAGTTCACGTCTTGATGGACAGCAAATATAACTCATCATATCTCAGACTGCATTCGTGAGTGTCGTCTCGAGTCGTTTTGAGTGGGATCATGCTCGTGGCAGTGAAGTAGCATAATAATGTTCACTATATTTTAATCAAACTCTCATCAGATACGCATGCATGTCATAGGCGAATCCGAAGTCGAAAATTAATTTTCTCGCAACTACTGTCTGGAGGTGCATCTCGAATATTTTATTTCTTCCCCGTTTCCTGTCTTTCTCATTCTCGTGCAATTTACCGGTGAAAATCAAGATTGATTCTTCCCCCTTTGTTCAAGAGAATGAGATATATTGAATCTACCTTAGCGCTTTCATAAGGCAGGGAGGTAATTCAAGATTGAATCTTTGTTCCGTTCGCCCCAGGCTGCCTTAAAATGAAGGCGTCTGCTTACCAAGTCGAAGCAGGTATGAATATTGCTCTTCTTGTTACACCCTTGCTCCTTAATTCTTCCCCTTCTCTTTCCCCCTCTCTCTCTCTCTTTCTCTCTTTCTCTCTCTCTCTTTCCCTCTTAGTAAGAAAGAACCAAAGCCCTTTACTGCCTGCCTTTCACCGCCGAGTTCCGATGTCCACGACGAGGAGGGGAACTCTGGCGAAATACCGATTCTAAACGATCGATACTCATTTTATTTGGCTGGCAACAGAAATACGTTCGACTTTCAACGCACGCATTTACGCGCGCTTCTGATTACCATAGCCGCCAGCGCCAAACCAGTGTCGAGTGCCCCAGCCGGGTTTCGCTGGCGCGCATCCATTTGGTAGCTCGCGGGGTTGCAACCCACCACCAAACTTCCCGACATGTCGTGCATGCAAAATCGAAGTGGGAGCTAATGTTTTTCTTAAGGTTTGAGCCACAAAAACCGATCCCCGGTCGAGATTCGAGGAGCCGTCGAAACAGGGACAAGCGGCGCAAGTTTAATTCGAGCGGTATCCCATTGCTGGTTTGTCGTGTCATGCGAGCGCGCGGCTGGACAGCTGAGACTAACTCCGATTTAATGACGAGTCCTGGAAACATCACTCGGCTTTTTGATGGATGGTGCAACCCGTGGTCGATTTCTTAATATAATCGGTGAAGAAATGAGAGAGCCCCATTATTTACCACGTTCTACTATAATCACACCAAAGTAATTAAGTTGACGGAGGTTTGCAAATGCTATGAAAACACGGACCAGATATGTAATATCGTTCCGACCTCGTAAATATTGCAAAGTGTAATTGGGAGAGCGAAAACATTTTCTTCGTAGCAGAGATCGTTGTTGTCGGTTCGGTTTTAATGGCGCGTTCATTCAAGTTCGAATATTCATTGCTGAACATTCTCCTCTACGATCACTCGTCTAAACCACGCCGCCATGTTTTTATTTTCATTTAATATTTGTATTCCATGTTATCAGCGTATTTTCTAAAATTCACGACCTCGTTATATACTCATCATTGTTTGTTGGATACGCACTTGATCCCATCAAAACGATGATTGTGTGTCATAAATATAATTATTAAGAAGCTCTACAAGTCACTTAAGGGATTATTCCGAATCAGCTTCAATAAATCAATTAGCTTCAGTCTCAGTATCATGGGAGAATCAAGACGCACCACTGCAGCCTCCATGCTCTCACTCAGAACTCTCTTCGCAATTACGACTGTGGGTCTTCATATTCTATACAATATTTTTTTTTATATAAATAATTATGAATCACTATAAGAATTAGGGCAAGATCGTTGATCTGTCTTTGCTATACTATCTATATCAGATTATACTGCTTTGGCGAAATGCCGAAGTTCATTGAAGACTGGGCCTGAGGTCGTATAGAACGAGGATAAGCTGGCAATTGATTGCTGTTTTACAACTGACCATGATACATAATCAATTAATTGTACGTTTGATCAGTCAATCGTACAATTAAATGTTTTACAGGTCCCGGTTCTTGTAATTGCCTCATAACAACGAAGGACCAGGGGTCCAATTGACTATGTAGACGATGCAAAACGCACGCGCACATTGACACACACACACACACACACACCCACACACACACACGCACACGCACCACACTGGCACACACACACACCCACACACCACAACAAAACACAGATCTTTGTGATATTTCGAAAAATTTAAGTTTTATTACGACTTATTGTGTACTGTGTTGTATACCCGTTAAGATACATGTCTACAAAGACCACCTGTCTACAACAAGCACATTTTTTGTTTCCCTTGAAAATGGTTTCTCATTGAAACACGTACTAAAAGAACCTGTCTGCAAAGACTACTTTTTGTGTTTCCCTATGGCGGTCGCTATAGACAGGTTTGACTGTATCTCAAAAAAATTAAAGTGTTTGATTCTACTCTTGAAACCCATCGGCAGTTTCTTCTGGATACTTCGACTATCCCAATCAACAATTGAAACGAAAAATTATCGGTAAACCTGTGGAAGGTTATTAATTCAATAAAACGAGTGCATTATGAGCTATATCAGCTACTCCCAGAGAAAACTGTGAGCCAATAAGTTCGTTGTCGATCAGTTCTTTGCACGATATACCAAGAAACGCGTGTTGCTGAGCTAAGCAGCTAATAATATCTTGAGGAGCTAGAAGCCGTATTCTAAGGCAGCTGGGTCCAGACATCGATTCAGGAAATTAAGAATGCTTCAAGAAAGGACCCAGCTTCATATCACCCACAATTATTACCCTCCATCCCCATTCAGACAACGTACACATATCATTCAATTATAATGCGCTGTCCCCACTGAGCGATCGAGTCGTGATTATCTTTTTCCCGCTCACATTTTCCGTCCAATATGAGCGATTGAGCATAGCGTGTGTGACTCGCTCTACAGATCTTCAAGAGACTCCTGCAGCTTTGCGGAGCCCTTGATGGCTCGAATACTCCCCATGGAGTGGAGAATGTGCACACATTGTGTGCGGGCGAGTTTTAATCCGATACAAAAATTCTGTAAAGCGCTTAGAGACATCGTCATTTTCCGTCCAATATGAGCTTTGCGTGTGTGTGTGACACTACAGCTCTTCAATAGACTCCTGCAGCTTTGCGGAACACTTGATGGCTTGAATACTCCCCAGGGAGTGGAGAATGTGCACATATTGTGTGCGGGCGAGTTTGAATCCGATACAAAAATTCTGTAAAGCGCTTAGAGACATCGTCATTTTCCGTCCAATATGAGCTTTGCGTGTGTGTGTGACCCTACAGCTCTTCAATAGACTCCTGCAGCTTTGCGGAACACTTGATGGCTTGAATACTCCCCAGGGATTGGAGAATGTGCACATATTGTGTACGGGCGAGCTTGAATCCGTTGGCCGGCCGGGGGGTAATGCTGAATCTGTAAAGCGCTTGAGACATCGTCGATGTAATAAACGCGGAATGTTATTAGTATGGCTGCGCGCAGACACCGCTCCTAAATTCTTTTCGTGTTCGACTGCGCGAAGTATCAGAGCCACCATAAATGCGCTCGTACAACCCAGTTGGTATACGGGGCAGTGAGGACGGATCACCAGACTGCTTTAGTTCTCTCTTTCTCTCCCTCCTTTTCCTTCCATCTTATCTCACCCACTCATAAGTGCATGCTCTTAACTTGATTACGAATGTATATGAAAATTAAGAGTTGGCAAGCAAGGCGCGTGTCAAATACAAGAACTCTTCAGCCCTCCTCCATCCACTCCCTCTCTCTCTCT